GTCCCCCACTTATAGACACGGGGACGGGGACGTCCCCTGGGTGGGGACACAGGAGGTGACCGTGCCCCAGGGCGGGGACAAGGGCCATGGCTGTCCCCACACCCTCCCTGGGCTGGGTGACAACAGCCAGTCCCCAGTCCCTGTGTCCCCAGTGTCCCACAACACCCCCCCCCAGTGTCCCCAGCAAACATATGTCCCCAAAGTCTCCAGTGTCCCCAACCTCCCTGGTGTCCCCAGTCTTCCCAGTTACCTCCAGTGTCCCTGAACCCTCCTTGTCCCCTGTGCCCTGATGTCCCCAAGGTCCCCAAACCCTCCCTCGTGTCCCCAGCATCTCAATGTCCCCAAGCTCCCCCAAACCTCCCCAGTGTCCCCAGTCCTGCCAGTCCCTCTTCAATGTCCCCAGTTCTCCTGGTGTCCCCAAGCTCCACAAACCCTCCCTGGTGGCCCCAGTGTCCTGGTGTCCCCAGGATCCCCAGAACCTCCCCAGTGTCCTTGGTATCCCCAAACCCTCTCCCATGTCCCCTGCGTCCCCAGAGTCCAAATGTCCCCAACCCCTCCTCGATGTCCCCCAAGTCTCCAAGCTCCCCCAACCCTCCCTAATGTCCTCGGTGTCCACAAAGTCCAGGTACCCCCAAACCCTCCCCCCTGTTCTCGGCATCCCCACTGTCCTTCTGTCCCCAAACCCTCCTGATGTCCCTGGTGTCCCCAGGCTCCCCACTCTCCTTGGTGTCCCCAGTGTCCAGGCATCCCCAAACTCCCCAATGCTCTCCGTGTCCCCAAACCCTTCCTGGTGTCCCCTGCATCCTCGGTGTCCCCAGAGTCCTGGTGTCCCCAAACCCTCCCTGATGTCCCCAGTGTCCCCAGGCTCCCCAATATCCTCAGCATCCCCAACGTCCTGATGTCCCCAAACCCTCCCCAGTATCCCCCGTACCTCCTGTCCCCCCCCTTCCCCACGGCCCCCGGTGTGTGTGGCCAAGCCCTGATGGCCACCCCCCATGGTGGCACCTTGGGGACAATGGGCCTTTGTCTCGAGCTGCTGTCCCCAACCCGGTGACAAGCCCGGGCTCGCCAGCG